ATAGCACCGACTTCGAGGTTATGCGAGGTATGTAAATGAATTATGTCAATTAAAAATATTATAATTTAAATTTCAAGCAAGTATTAATTATCACTTTTTACTTTATGTAGCATCACTTTGATGACTCCCAATTTGAAAACCACCGAGAGGATAAATGGCGAAAATTAAAACCAAACGCTGTTCCAACTATTTTTAATGATAAAAATTCAACAATTACATTTAATAACCAGTTAGCAGTTGGTAAGAATTATTACAGAATCATATTTTTTTATTCAATATCTGTGGATATTAGATAATAATTATTATTTTTTAATTACATTTATTATTTGCAGGGCAACAAACTCCTCACGAAAACCTATTTGAAAATGATTATGTTCAAGACTTTAATCCGGTGATTTTAACTAATTTCAACAGTAATATTAGAGATAATGAGAACGTTATCGATGAAAATTCACTAAATGAACATTTTCCATCAGCAAAAATGGTCACAGATGCAAGCATTCAAACTGATGGTGACAGTGACACACTTATGTTACAAACAAAATACATTTCTAATGAAGAAGGTACTATCCGACAAGCTAATGAAATAAAATACTTGCAACTGCAATTAGAAAAAGAGCGTGCAAAAGCTAATATAGAGCGTGCAAAAGCTAATATGCTAAAGTCGAAATATGAAAATGAAAAATTATTACGACTAAAAATGACAACAAAAATAAAATCTTATAAGAAAAAATGTTGTACCTTATCTGAAAAATTGGAAAATATTCCATTTTTCAAGAAATTTGCTGCAGGATTATCTAATCCACATCAACCAAAATGGTCTCCTGAATGCTTAAAACTTGCAACACAAATAAGATACGCTGGTAATTCCCTCAATTTTTAAATAAAGTAATGTTAGTTTTTGTATGGAATTAATACTAATTTTGATACTTTCTGTTTACAGTTGGATGGAAGGCCTATTTATATTTGAAAAAAGATCTTCAGTTACCTTTACCAGCTTATTCTACTTTATGCAAACACATCAGTAAACTTGATTTCTCTCCTGGTCTGTTAAATGACGTCCTTTCATTAATGGCAAAGAAAAAGAAAACTCATTCATCTGCGCATCAAAGTGATAGTGTTGTTTTGATGGATGAAATGGAAATTAAAAAATCCTTGGAGTATGATGTTAGCACAGGTATATATGATACAAACTGAAGTTTATATTTATATTACGACTAATAATTACAAAATATGATTACAAAAATAGATATTCTTAGCATCCTTATTAAAAGAAAGTCCTACACTCTGTATATCTCTGTATATAAGTACTAATTCATGAGTGTTTTTCTACAGTCTCTTTATTGATAAATAGAATATATTTTCAATTGTATAATAATAATAATAATATTAATAATAATTGTAAGAATAATTGTAATTAAAATAATGATTTTGATAATAGTATTGATAATGATACCTATAAGTAATAGTATTAGAGTAAGAAAATTGTAATAATAACATAATTTTTTTCTCATATTTTGTAATTTAATTATTTCCTTGTCTCTCTATACAGTTTATAGGCGTAACCCATTGGTTCGAAATCCAAAGTACGTTAAAATTGAAATATATATTTTTTATCTATAACTACAGGATCATTTATTGGACACAACGTGTGAAGAACAAGCAAAACTAAGCACTACTGTTGTTGTTTTTATGCTCAGAGGACTAACAGAAAACTGGAAGCAAATTATTTCGTGGCATCTGACGTCTAAATCTTCAGATGATTGTGTAATGACCCAATTACTTTTAGAAATTGTTGAAGAAATTGAGAAAATAGGCTTTAGGATTTCATGGATTAGTCTGTGATATGGGTCCGAAAAATCAAGCTATATGGCGCAACTTAGGAGTAAACGTTTCGAGGGATAACGTTGTACCGTTTATAGATCATCCCGTACGAACTGGTAATTCTTTTTATATCTTTCCAGATGTTCCACATCTTTTAAAAAATTTACGAATGGCGTTAACCAATAATTCTATCATTATAATAGCCCGATCAATTGTAGAGTCTGAAAATTTACCATGTAATGAAGTACGATTTAAATACCTTGAAGAATTAGTTGCAATTCAAGAACGACATAGTGATTTAAAATTAGCACCAAATATAACAGCTGAGATTTTAAGGCCTTCTTCTTTTAATAAAATGCAAGTACCACCAGCAGCGCATATATTTAATGTAAGAACTGCCGTTGCTCTAGAAACTTTGATTGAACTAAAAATGATAGATAAAGAAGCTCAAACTACAGCTTGGTTTATAAGAAAGGTTCGAGTTTGGTTTGATGTAATGAATAGCAGATACCAAAGTGAAGCTATAAATTTAAGTAATAAAAACGTAAAAATAGCTATTATTGATGATTTTTTAGATTTAATAGAAAATATAATAATTGGCAAGTCATGGAAACCAGTTCAGACGGGTATAAAAATATCAGTTTTAAATACTATAACACTCGTGCATTTATTATTTAAAACTGGATATAACTTTTTTTTAACCTCTCGCCTTAATCAAGATGCCATAGAAAATTTGTTTTCGACTTTACGTCGACATGGAAACGATAATCCAACTGCTTTAGAAACTAAACGGTGTCTACGACTGATTACATTATGTCAATTTTTGGACACTCGAAAAACCAAAAAAAATTATGAAGATGATAATGATGAGCATTACGTTCAATTCTTTTTATCAAAAGAACCAAAGAAAGGAAGAGATTTAATTGTGATTCCGCCAGAGGATTGTATGTATTTCCCCGTTTATGAAAATACACAAAATTACACTTATGTAACCCCAATAACGAATAGATTAGAGTGTAATATTATAAACAACGTACTAGGAAGTGCAATTTCTTATGTTTTACGAAAAAAATACGCTTGTAATGATTGTTTAAAAGCTTTTACTGATGATAATGGTCAGTATTCGTTTTATACCAAAGCTCTTTCTTTTGGATTCTTAGAAAATCCTTCAAATGGTATATTTAACTATATTTCTTTAGTTGAAGGTCATTTGCAAGCGCATTTTGATAGATGTGCTCTGCACCCTCGATTATTTGAGCATTTATTACAAATGATCGAAAAATGGGCACCTTATAAAGAATTAACTATCTCAAACATTTGTGCGGAACGTACCAAACCTTGTAATTTCTTCTACAATATTTTACGTCGATATATTCATATTCGACAAATTATTTTTGTTAAAGATCAAAAAAAGAAAATACGTTTAACGAAAAATAAATCCTTTGCTTCAAAAAGTGCTCATAGGCAATCTATTATCTAAAAATCAAAATTATTTACAAAGCAATATTGTTATTGTTTTTAAATATTTATTTTAATAGCAATATTATTTAAATAAATTTTTTTTGCAATATTTTAATCGCCAGTTAAAGTCCATTTAAAATGTATTATTTGAGTTATTATTTTAATTATTATAATTACATGTTTATTAATAAAAATATAAGATTATTGGAAAATTTAATTTCTAGTCTAATTATTTTAAACACTCAATGTTTTTAATTAAGAGTTAGTAATAAAATTAGTTAATATATTTGAGAATGCATGCTGTTTATTTTTCTAATTTCGACCAAGTATTATTTATTTTTATGTTTTTTAACTTAACTTTTAAACAGCCTAAACATTAACATTTACCTAAAAATCAAACATTATATTTTTTGGCTGATTAGCTCAAGGTCCGTAGATAGACGCCACGTACCTGTCGTCGCGTCTATCTATGGATCTTTGATCAGCTGAGCGTTGTGGTCGCCATTTTGGATCCAAACAGCTCGAAGTG